GTGCCTGATGCCCCCCTCGGTGGGGCGCTTTCTTTCCTCCGCCTTTCCTCGCTCTTTCAAACTGTTCCGCCCTTCCTCCCAAGTGGATGGGGCAGGGATGGCCCCTGCTTTATTCTAACACAGACTCTTTGGGAAGCTGAAGGAGGCGATTCTCTGCAGTTTCTTCTGCGGCGGCTCCATCTCGATCGCAGGGCAGAGGCGGCGGGGGCCTGCCACCAGCATCGCCTGAGGAGTTTGTGAGCTTTCAGTTTCCCCTTCTGCGGGGTCCGGCTGGCTTTACAACCTCTCCTGCAACACCGACCGCCCTCGGCTCGGCGGCCGCGCCGCAGCACCGCTTGGATTGGCCGCTTGTTTTTTTTTTCCTCTTCGCTGTGGCTCGGGCCGTAGCGCATCCACCGCCCAGGAACAGGAAGGACGAGAAACCCTCCCCACGAAGTCTCCTCCAAGACGCGCTCTCCGCAGCCGAGCAGGCGCCCGGACTCCTCGGGGCTCGCGCGCCGCCCTTCCGCCCGGGGAGAGCGGCAAAGTTTGTACTTGCAGCGCGGATTCGCCTCGCGGCGCCGGGGGGAGATTTGCTGCTGCTGCTGCCCCATCCTCCCGCGCTTACCTGACCCGGCTGCAGCTGCCTGCCGCGCCGGAGGGCTGCGAAGCCAGGCCGCCCAGTGATCCCCTCCCCACATGTGCCGCCGGCCACCAAGTAACTTTGCGAGAGGCCGGAGAGCGGTGCCTTGAGAGAAGCCCCTGCTAGCCGCCTTCCGGCGCCGGTGTATGTCTCCCCGTGGGCTCCGCACTGCACTCCCGGTGAATGTTCACCGCCCGCCGCCCGCTGCTGCTGCCGCCGCCGCCTCCTGGCTCGGCTCCCCCCTCCCCCTGCCGGGGTGACTAAGCTCCAGCCGCTCCTGAAGGGATCCCAGGACCCCACGCTCTGGGGGGGGCGTCTCGCTGCGGCTAGTCAGGGCAGCTTCCTGGCCGCCCCTTCCCTGTGCGCGCCTGTGACTCGATTGACTGACTGATTCCCCCGGGGGGGGCGTGGGCCGGGACTCCGTGATGTTGCACGTGGAGATGTTGATGCTGGTGTTGCTGGTGCTCTGGATGTGTGTGTTCAGCCAGGATCCCGGCTCCAAGGCGGTGGCTGATCGCTATGCAGTCTATTGGAACAGCACCAACCCCAGGTAAGAGGACGAGGGGCTGAGCCAGGGACAAGCGTGGGAGCCGATCCTTTAGCACCCGCTGGGCTGGGTTCCCTAACGGAATCGGTGAGGAGGGGGCTTTTACCAGCAGGCATGGGAGTGAGCAGCGCTACGTGCTGTGGAGATCAGAGTGCTCTTTCGGCTGCACACGTGCTCAGAGCCTGGGCCGGAGGGGGGCACTGGGCAGAGGAGGAGGGAGTGCCCCTCACCACTTCACGGAGCCTTCAGAGAGGGGGCTTCTGGGCAGCGCTTTCCGGGGCTGCAGTGTGAAGTTCTTGACCGGGACCGTGGGAAACCTCGTTTGCAAGAGGGGCAAAAACTTTCTTACTCGAGGTGCGTTAAGGGAACTTTGAATTTGGATCTTCCCGGTTAGCCAGAGCAAGCACTACTGCACTAACTGCCCCCTAATTCTTGGCACTCTGGGGCTTTCCCTAGAGTGCCAAATAGTGGTACTTTTGTATCAAAGTATAGGTGCATCACCTATGTGCGTGTCTATACCTATAGGTGTAAGCATTTGGGGCTAGAAACATTTTAAAATCTAGTTTCCTATTCATTTTAGATCATAGGTAATGGAACCCATTTATTCTGAGCTCTGCTGCAGGGAAACTCTATATTGATGTGAAATGAAAGTCCTGGACTATTTCAGCCTAGGTTATGGTGAACTCTTCAATATCTGAAGAAGTGAGTTGTATCTCACAGAAACTTATGCCCTAATAAATGTGTTCGATTTTGAAGTACCATCAGTCTCCTTGTTGTTTTTGTTTATAGTGGATTTGTGTGTGGGGGGGGGGAGGGAGCATGACTTTTTTGTGAAAAAAAGATGAAAACGTTTTGCTTGAGATTGTAGAGGAGCCTGGAGCTGGCGTCTTGGCAGCCACATGTGGCAGCTGTTCCACGCCAGGGCTTTAGAGATGAAGTAAAGGAGTAGCTTTCCTTTGCATGAATTTATGTAAGCTGGTTAAGTCACATTAACTGTGCAAAGAAGCCTCTGACTTATAAAACTTCAGTACTTTGTAGATGAGTCCTGGATTGAAGGTTTCTCATGGAAAAGGGCAGATACTCTTGCCCAAGCTGTCACAGCAAATTCAAGTGCAATAGTTAGTGATGCCCTCACAATATAAGTATCATCTTATGATTTAGAAATACATTTATAAATGTGGGGCGGCATGGGGGGGAGCAGTTAATCATTGAGTAACTTAGGGAACCTCGAAGTGTTCTTCAGTTATAGTTGAAAAGACAAATAAAGCCCTAGCTTTCCAATGAGGACTGTGCTAAAATATTTCTTTTTTTGTTTCTTTTGCATGTTTTTGGATAGTGTAGATATAAATTAAATATAAGAATTTTTATTTCAAAACTTAATAAGAGGTATTATTTAGGATCTAACAGTTTTCCTGCTAATTCCCCTTTACTTCAGTATAACGATATTTCAGTCTTGGTCTAAATGGTATCTGTACATTTAGGTAAAAAGTCACCTTGGTAAAGTGAGTGAGCAGATTTAAAAAAAAATCTGTCAAGTTAGTCAAAGTAAACTTGAGGACGTTTTACCTTAGGTTATCTCTGTTCTATGTTTTTGATACTACTGTTTGGTTTGAGATTAGCACATTGATTTTTGTTACAGGTCATGTTTTTTAATACATCTGCATTGCTTGCAGCATACTCTTGTACTCTTTTTTTTTTTTTTTTCAAAAGAGGCTTTGAAATAGGGGATACCAAAGTTAACTGGCAGAATTTATAAGTGCCTTAGAGTTTGCTAGTTGGCTTGGTACTTTAATATTATGCTGGTGGTGGCTGCTTTTCAGTAAGGTTAAACTGATGCAAAAGAAGGGTGACCAAAAATAATGATTTATTCAGAGAATTATTTAGTTGTGTTGTGTCACTTTACTTTTTTTTTAAAGCTGTCATCACAAGCATATCAAAGTTATAAAGCCCACTAAAATGGAATTAAGGTCTTACCTCCCATCACACTTAGATATATTAGAAAACATATGCCTCTTAAGAAAATTGTGTGTCCTCAAACAAAGCTTTCTTAAAATAAAGTTGAAATTAAACATATTTAACATCCCCCCACAACCCTCACACAGACAATACTTATGTGTGCCACTGTAAAGAGAGAGAGAGATATTTGAAGGACTAAATTTGACCAAATATTGCTAATATGGCAATTTAAAACAAACAAAGACAATTTAAAAAAAAAACCTTTTCTCCACTCTGTGTAGCTATTGTGCATGGATTGTAAATAGTTGAAATAATTGTAAATAGTTGAAATACTTATCACATTAAATGCTATATCTCCTTTCCAGTATTATGTATTTAAAAGGTTGGTTGTAAAATTACATCACTGTAAATGACAAACTTCTCTAACTTAAACTTTCAACATATGCAGAGAAAACTTGGTTTTCTTAATCTTCTAAAGATAGGAGAAGGAGTTAATTACAAATTACTTTAAGCCTTCTCTTCTTAAACAAAGTAAAACTAAACAAAACCAGTTGATTGATTTCTTAAAATAGGAATCAGCCTTTTATAAAAGGGTCTGTATAGATATGACATGTTCAAGAATTAAATAATGTTAATGGTACATGGTAGTGTTACAAAGAGCTCAAATATGCTACTTTTCTGTTTTATAGAGTAGTAGCAGTAATAATCTGTATTTTGTTCATGCTATCAAATTTCACAATAGATGCTATAAAAACAGGTAACATCTGTTTGGATAAACGTAAGAGAGTGGGAGGAAAAATTGCTTTGCATTTTATATTGCCTTTTTCAGGATGTAAGTTTAGAAGGTAAAGTTCAGTCTGGTTATCAACATTTTAAAACAAGTCAGTTGTTCAGTAGTAATAATTTGTCAGTAACTTTTCTTTCTGAGTCAAAAGATTGACCACATTTTGTTTTTACTAAAATGTGGCAATCCAAAATGGTACTTAATTGAATGAAAAAGTCTAAATTGGCAGGTGAAATGTTATATTTTGTTGACCTGTAAGGTAGTCATAGTAGGTTAGCTTACTTTTTTATGATGTTTATCCAGAGTTACCAATCTACTGTGAACTAATTATTCAGTTAAATATTCAGATTTCAATTCAGGCACAAGAAAATAGAAAAATGCACTACAATACAGTTTCTTCAAACCTTTGAACGAAGAGATTTTTCATGTACTTCTAACAAGTACAGCTGAATCTTGGTTTTACAGTTGCTAACCTAACTATACAACTTATGAAAACAGAAATAATTCCTATTATTATTAAAAGTCATAAACAATCTGATGAGTGGTGCATATAGATTAGTGCCTCCAGAATGAATCACACTTTTCTTAAATAAAACTCCATGCGTATATTATAAAAGTTTGTATTGGATTTTTTTTGAATAGATGCCAAAATCCTGGAAGATCAATTAAAATGCCTTCTGTTATACTGTTAGTATATGAAAAAGTAATATAACAAAGTAATTTATTTTTAAGTAAAATGTTTTCAGAAAAATCAGAAGTATCATTCCTAGTATGTCACTTTAACAACATATATGACTCATAAATTCTAAAATCTGGTTCCAAATAAAAAAGTGTGCTCCTCTTCTATTAAACATGAGGCTTTCTAAAATATGATAAAATAAGATTGCTTTATTACATGTGAAACAGTGTAAAAACTTGTGGATAGAATATTTTACAATAGGTATTCTTGAAAATGTATGCTAGTTCTTTTTATATATGTTTTTGTTAAATGTGCTTGTGAATTGTAATCTTTACCTTAAAATGCATTAGTCTCACATCTGTGATTGCAGATGTACTGCTTCACTGTAGAGAAATAGTAAGATTCTTGTTATAGCGACAAAGTTCCTATGTGTAACACTTAGCATCGTTTTGAGAGTTCATTCAGAATGCAGCATGTTTATTTCATCTGACTAATCAGTATCCTGAAGATGATTCAGTCATAGAAATTTCTCCCTTTTAGGGCCTGATCCTGTAATTGCTAGCTCCTAAGCGCTTGCCACTGTGTCTTGCGTTACTGAAGTCAAATTGGTTTTCTTGCCGTAGTAAGTGCTTAGCGCTGTACTCTTTGCAGGATTGCATTTTCAGACTGTAATTTCTTTTTAACTATGTTTTTCAAGATTTGCAAGTTACATAGAATTTATAAATTGATTCTGGTTTCAAAGAATTTAATAGTTTTGTGTTTCTTTTTTGATCAAATTTCTTATTACTAATACAAAAGGACAAATCTTGCTTTTATCAGTCAGGGAACTAACGGCGTTCTGTAAAAGTCAGTGGAATTTTGAGAAGGATGTGTATAGTTGACTATAATAAATAACTATGTTAAATATATATTGTAATGTAAAACTCTATTCACAGATTGATCATTCTAGTTTAGATGTATTTATAAATAAGATACTACTGGAAATTATGTAGTCATAATAATTTTAATAATAAGTGATGCAATAATTTCACCCATCAGTATTCAGATTATCATTAGGATAATTGCTTAAGGTCTCAGATACAGAGTAGACAAAGAGTATGATCCTGTAAATTCAAAATTTCCAATGCAGGTGTCTAAAGTTAGGAAGATGAATCCATAATTAGGCACTTAATTCCCTGAATTAAGGACTGTGTTCACAAAAGCATTTAGACACCTGTTTAAGTCCTATAGTAATACACAGGACTTTTATGTGTGCTAACAGAAAATGTACACTGAAGTGTTTTCCTGTATCGGAGCCTGAAAGAAGTGGACTGATTTTTTTTTTCAGAGCTTATGAGCACCCAAGCCTCTGATGACTTTTTAAAGCTATGCAATACATTGAAGTACCTCAGTATGTCTTTATGCTCTTGTTTGAAAATGTTCCCATAATATGTTGATTACAAATGCACACATCGTGTTGATGTTTGTTTGTTTTTTTGAAATCAGGAATTATTCCTGTAGAAATGAGAGAAATGATGTGGAAATTGTTGGAGCTCAGGAAGTATGGTTTTTCGACTGATCATTTTGAATCAGTGTTGGGGAGCA